CTCAGCAGAGAATCCAAGTATTGTGTCCATTGTTTGCCATTAGTAATAGAAGACGTAACAGACAAAATCTCAATGTAAACCTATAAATTCATCTCGTTATGTAACAACACAATAATCAAATGTTGCCAACACACTTCGCTTACACAACACCAAACGAACTCCTGAACTAACAAATGAAGACCGATTTAAATCATATATTGACCGACCTATATTCAATCCGTAACTTCAAAGTTCGGTCCTGTCAATACAGAATGTTCGAAAGAAATGATTGCTCAAGCTCTCTGATAAATAGCACAAACAGTGACCGAGATTTTGTACCAGAATAGCTGGAAATGTGGGTTAAGTAATTTTCCGAGGACGTAGAAAAGGTCGCTAAGAATTTGCTGGAATCGCTGGAGGTGGAAAGCTTCTAGGTTTGAGGATTTTAAAGTGTGCTTGGTTGGAATAGTTGGTGAAATTGTAAATGGTTTGTTGAAAAAAATCGATGTTGAATGTGGATTTAGTTAATTCTACTGTGGTGAAATTTCCATGCGATGAAGTTGGTTTGGTTTAATATAAAAATTAAGCTGCAGTAAAGTTTACATTGACGCTATTCGTTGATGGGTAAAAATCATCAATTTCATTTAATAACCTTTTGACCGCCGCGACAAACTAAATGTACTTAAAAATCATGATTTCTTGTCGACTGTGACTGAGTGTGACGGATCAGATCATCTTTTGTTCATCAGCTATAGCTGTCCGTGGCGTTCAAAAGGTTCATGATTGCTTTTAATACATTACAGAAGACAAAAGACCTAGAAACTTAATAATGTCAATCAAATCTAGAAGAGATTAAGAAAATGAAACGATTAAGATACTTACTATTAAGTAACATGTGTAAAACGTACACAAATGACACAAGCCCTCAGAATGTTAAGTCAATATACCCAACAAGTGCATTTCTAAAAACAATACGAAACAAACTGGTTCGGTGTCTCAAAAAACATGTGCAACAGACAAACAGACATTTCCTTTTTTATTAAGTGTAGACACGGCGCATCAAACTATCCCTTTCTCTCCAATTCCTTCAATAGAATACCAACCATATCATTAGCTAATAAGGCGCAAATTCCATTGAAAGTAAATTTAGTTTAGTGTACTTTGACATGCTGGTTGTCTACTTAAAGTATATTAAAATGGCGACACGTTCACTTGGACAAATACTTGAGTATATGAATATTCAGAAATCGGTGTGTGACTAAGCGGCCCGTTGGACGATCTTTACAATATTTCTTTGTCCGTCTGAGCAAACAGCTGATTCACTTACGTGAGTCAATGATCCATTCAGTTCGGTCAATAAAAATTCTTAAGTTATTGGGATGAACTTAGGATTAATGTGTCTTGGTAAGCTTGCGTTTAATTTGACTTCTGTTAATGTGATATTTGTGTGTGTGAGTTCGATGACCTTTGGCTAAATTATGAATTTGTAAACAAAGCTTGTTTCAATGTTAAAACATTGTCTTTGTAACCCAAGACAGTGTTTCACGTATATAGTTTAATTATTATTTTGAGTAAATAAATATTGCAATTTGATCGTTATTAGAATAAATCTCATAACGAACGGTCCTGTCCATAGATTCCATTCATAAAATGTATTAGTGGAACATTCTTAACGCTGATTTCTATCTAAAACTAGCGTATATAACTTAATCTGTCAGTCTGTGGTGTGAACAACTTATGGCGGCAATACCTTATCAAAGGTTTTACGATCTCAAGATTCTTCTCGCATTGATCACTACTTCGTTAGTGAGTCATACTTAAATATTGTAATCGTCATATACAACACCACGAGCATGTTTGCAGGGTAATTAAAAAGCGAACGCATCAATAACCTTCTGTCAAATTCAAATGACATTAGCTGTCGTTTTATGGCGGGAAATAAAAGGTATTTTTACTTTTGTCTTTGGTGTCTTAATTTAGTCACAATTTTCTTGTCTCTAAATTCTTTTGCTATTGTTTGAGCCTATTGTAAAAAGGAATGTTTTCCATGTATTACAATTAAATTCGCAACAAAACATTTACGAAAAACTGCAACCTTACACCTGACATTTTAGTATCATCATTAATCATCTTTCTCGGGTCATATTTACCCTACAAGCCTTCTGGTATTTAAACCTTACAATTTGACATTATCCACGAATTAAACAGCGCCATACATTGTGCCATTACGCAATAGGCTATTAACGTTAGCCGAACTTTACGATGGCTATCAATTGGCTATAAAAAGTGCGTAGTGGGTTGCATTGACCCAAATGAGACCTATTTTGACGTCAACTGCATACATTGACGACCATATTTTGACGTGTATAACGTTCTACGAAGTATTGTTCAAGCATTGTTCGTTTGTTAAGTGACGCATGATGATGAGTGGTTAGAGCCAATGTTACAGGTAAAAAAGGACAGGAAAATATTGTTGGAATTTTCAGTCTTGATCTTTTTGGTAGTATCTAAAGATAATGTGCTAATTTACCACGAAGGTACGCTTCAATTGAGCACTCGTCACTTGTGGGAAAGCATGTGGGAATGTTGATCCAAATGAACATGAGCATGCATGTTTGCGAATCGAAATTTTTTCTTTTTAAACACCATCAATTAAGTGAGTGAAACACTACTTACCTTAACTCTAAAAGGAACTCTTGAAACAGTTTATTGTACAATACTAAAAATGCAACTCAGTTTTAGATATACATATGTATCTGCTGGACAGTATCAAACGGCACCGGCGACACCATCCACTAAAATTACCACAATTATTTATGTTACGACCATGCAGTAAAAATAGTTTCGTATGAATTAATATCACGCCTCACGGCAGTTTCCGCCAGATGGCATAGTGTTTTCTATAATGTTAGTTTGTTCTTATTAACACCGGCGGCGCATGCGCATACAACTGTTTTCTTTCCATTTTAAAGCTCAATAGGGCTGTCGAGTGGGATGGTAATAAAAACAGTATGTAGTTTGTTGAATGTCAGAATCGATTGGGGTTGATTTTAGTGTTTTTGATGTTCGTGACAAATAATTTTGTAAGATTTTGATTATTTATTATTCTGTTTATGGATTAGGACTAGGAACTAAAATGATTTTATTATATTGCATGAAAACATGCTCGAGATTAGATAAGTTTTCTTAACTCGTCGAGTACCGGTTTTGTAGACACAATTATAGAACAATAGGTTGCGGTCACCGGTGACCGCTTGGTGTTTGACAGTTTAATGCTATGAATCTTTCTAATTGTTATGAATGTTAAAGCTGAGCAGAGATGTTGGAATCGATTACACGATTAGACAAAGTATAATTGTTATGTCTTTAACAAAACATGGACGATCTAATGTAATTGTCACATCTATAATACCAAGTTTTAACTCGTCGAGTACCGGTTTTGTAGACACAATTATAGAACAATAGGTTGCGGTCACCGGTGACCGCTTAGTGTTTGACAGTTTAATGCAAGTAAATCAATTTGAATTTGTTTCAACTTTAACTAACAAGTGATTAATTTTTATAATAACTATCGTGAGACATACTAAATTAACTAAAACTCGCGGGTTAAAACTAAAACCGATGCGAGCGCCAACGCTAGCCAGTAGGCTGCGCGACTTCGCTGCGACCGCGCACTCTGTTCATAAGGAAACCCCTCTATGATTCGAAACTATACTCGGAATTATAATTCGATTCCAGATTTGACAATTTCAGTGTTGCAACGTTATGACAAGTACTAAATAGTGACGTTGCGAAATTATTCGATATGGAAATGCAATATTTCTGAATCGATTCTTCTCGTTTATAATTTTACTCTCGTAAACTAAGGATATCAGGAAATTAAATATTTCTGACCGATAATTTAGTTTTGACGATTACTTAACGATCTGAGACTTTTCTTTTATAATTTGTGTGTGAAATAAATAAAAAAATGTTATCATGAAGGAACATGACAAATAAAACAGATAGATGTATTATGGTAATAAGTTATTTTATAAATTGTCGCCGTCATCGCTATCGCTATCGCTGTCACTTTCTGTAACATTTATTATAAAACACACACACGATTGTTAATCGATTTTTGTGTCCATCACTACACTATTATATGTGGTATCATTATTTCACAAAATGACAGTAGCTATTGTCAAATCTGGAATCTAATTAAAATTCTGACTATAGTAGAGCTTTTCTCAGTATATTTACGTGAGTAACCCGCAATTTTTTGTTAATTCATTAATTCTTCAATTCTGTTCAATTTAACTTAAATGCTTAGTAGCTACAAAACGCAGAACATTTAAATACCAAGAAATTTTTTAAAGGTCCTGTGTCATAGAATTTTTGACAGCCCTGTACTGTTCTAAAGGATTACACCACGGGCGCGTGTTATTACAGTTAAAATTAACTACTAAACTGTTTTCAAGTTCATAACATACAGTAACCGAGGATTATTTTCAGAATATTTGTTTTTATATTTCAACTAAACGATAGTTTTATTCCTTGAAACATATCTCTTAAATTATGTTTCGGCTTTAAAGTTGATGCTGTATGATTTATTCGTCATGATCATAAATATTTTAGGTAAACTTATATAACTATATACATACATATATATAAATGAATTGCCGTTCACAAGCCTCGCTAAAACTCAGAACGGCTGAAGCGACTTGGCTAATTTTGATAATTTTGACTTTGAAATGTTCATTTTAATATACCTATCCCCAATTAGTAATGAGACATTTTTTAAACAGTAACAAAGGGAGATTTTTGCTCGTTCTTTTCCATTCGAATCTACATTTTGGAACGAGCTTCACCGACGGACAGACTGACAGACAATTATTTATTTTATATTATTGACGTTTCGAAAGTATCAATGTTACTGTCTACTATTTACTCCTACTTCATTACAACCCAAAGCAATCTCGTCCTTATTGTTAAAGAAATAATGTTTATTTTATCAATAACATCTTCATTTTTGTTCCCAGGCCTGTGCTCCTCGCTACGTGTCCTATGTGTCTGCGAAGCTCAACCAGAGAGACCCAGTGGGCACGTGCTTCGTTGCCAACAGTCCGGACATGACTGACGTTAAGGAGTTCTCACCATGCCGTACTTGTAAGTACCCACAAATAAATAAAAAATGGAGTTTTTTTTATGATTGTGCGGAAATGACACAAACGAGTTTTGAAGATTTTCAATTTCAATCTTTTGCTATAAAGTCGAAAATTTATTGAAATCTACAGACAGATGACAGTTTGAGAAAGCTTAGTGTGAATTTTAACCAAATTAACTTAATTTATTTGAAATTTATGTTTTCTTTCTTTACTCTCTCTCTATTTTTTGGATGCTTAAATGAACAACAATTTTATATTTAGCACTGAATTAGAATTAACAATTTCCATTAAAAAATTGAGCAAACATTTTTAATAAAATAACGCTTATAAAATGGCAACACTGGATCGCGTAAAAGGGCGCCAATGGAGCGGTCATGACGTAACGTCACAATGGCGGTCTTGTATGCGCGCGAAAACCAACTCACTTCCGCCGGTAATGGCGGCAAGCAAGGGAATTAGCGTGACGAGCTTGAGGCGTATACATGATTTACGACCACATTTTTATGTAAAACGATAAATTTAAGGATCACGTTACATTACAAAAATATCATTGTGTGATTTGATAGTTTTTACGAAACGTTAAACTTTAATATATATTTTTATTTATTTGCGATCACCCACTGAGAGTGGACCACACATTTCAAGTTATATATGAAAAGTTTGTACTAATTTATGAAACATACTCTTTAATTTTATGTTCTATACTGCTTAAGTGCTTATATGTTTACTTACATGTAAATATTCTTATGTATTTGTTATACTTAACTACGGATAGAATAAATCACTTTAAAAATAGACAATTTTTGTGATCGACAAGACCCTTGCAATTGCCGTTTAAGCGAACTGAAAAGTCAATGTATGGACTTGACGCAAGTTTGACATAATTTGTCGAATGTCGGTGCCACGTTATTGAATTTTATATTTAATCATGCGAGTAGTGGTTAAATGTTATTTATATAAAGGCGGCTGGATTGTTCGTAATATATATTGTTACATGTATTTATTGTAAAGATATTAATATAATAATATTTCTATAAAATAACTATGTATGCTTTCTTTAGGGCACGTCTCGTTGGACGAGGGTGAGTCTCTCTGAGTAAGATACGATGTGTTGCACTTGTCGTCCAGTAGATACTCATACACTTCATAATGATTGTGTTAAAACCACATCATGGACACTGTTATAATATTAATTTATTCATCTCATCCATCCCTTGTAGACCGTGAAATAAATGACTGATTTTCGAAAAAAATACTTTTGTCTAAAATGGACTTACAGTTTACATTTCAAGATTTAAAAATAGAACAGATGGGGCTACTTTATTGGTCGAATAACATATAGTTTGACTATTAATTGTTTGGGATATTCGAGTTTTAACATTTTTTTGGAGACTGCGCCTGTTTTGTAAGTGGTTGGCGCGGTTCGGTAATAGGACACCCTTTTTTCAAATCTCGTTACATACATAATATACGAAAATAGCTAAAATTGGTGTTAAATAAAAATGATTATATGCACCGCTTTGTACGGGGAATAACATGACATAATGTTGCCACAAATTAAAATAAAAGTATGTAATAAAATGTAGACTGTGAGTCTCGCTTGGAATCTATTAAAAAACTACAAAATAAAAACATAATTTCCGCGAGTTGTATAATAAAAAAATGTAGAACTGCGAGTGTTGTCCTGCACTTTGTATGTATACACCTAAATTGTATATTAATGCCTCATAATATATGTGTATTATTCATTGCGGGGCCATATTGATTGGTAATGGATATGTTTTTTTGATTTACAGCAAGTCATGGACAGCGCAAGACTGGCATGTGCCAAGCCGGTTTCTCGGGAGCCATATCAAAGGTAAGGCTTTAAATAAAATGTTGTAAAATTATAGCAGGTATCAGTAAGGTTTAAACGATTTTAATACCTCTTGATATAATAACGTTTTTTATAAAGATCTATGCACAATGAGCTTAATCCTCGAAAGCGTAATAGCCAGTAGTTATTATGCCATATTATTTATTGGTGTCAGTGAATAAACTTACTAGAGGGATGACTAATTAACGCCCTATCCGACCCCCGATTCTCCAACAATCTTCAAATTCCTGATTCCCAAAAGGCGGGTAACGCACTTGTAACGCCTCTGATGTTTCAGGGGTTTATGGTTGGCGCCGATTGCTTACCATCAGGTGATCTGACAGGTCGTTTACCAGCTTATCCCATTAAAAAAATCATTAAGTACTTAATTTTGGAACAACAAAGCTTATTATTTAATTTAGTATTTCGTCATTTCATAAAGTGAAATCAAATTATAGGATAAAATAAATAACCCAATTAAAGTTTTCACTCACTAAACGTTGCCATTTACCAATTGTCTCTGTGTTGCAACATACAAAAATATGATGACAGTTTATTATCTTTTTTGTCACACCAATTATGTTCCATTTTCAATTATTTCGGGTGAAATTCGCTTGACTTTTTGTCTGTACTTGTACTTGCGATTTCTGGCAGCATTGGAGTGAGGTTATTAATTTAATTTTTATAAGTGGCCATATTAAAATCCCATTATGGAGGTTGTATGTCATTTCGTGACAAATTAGTTACGGTGTCGTCTGTGGACACTTATTTACCGCTGAGACGAAAGGTGTACGACTTGTTGTATGCATGATTGAGTGGGATCAAAATTTCGAAGATTCTGTTACGTCTGTCCAAATCGAAAACCTAAATTAGTTTATTTTGGGCGATTGCTGTCTATCGTATTATTTTGTAATTATTACCTCACCTTGGTGTTTGGAAATGTGCCAGGTGCACGTCTGTAGACATGCTCTAATAGCAATGAATTATTGTGTGTTAATTACACAATCTGTAAAAATTTTAAATTTCTTATTAGAAGAAGAGTGAACTTTGATGATATATGAAAAAAAATTTGGAAGAACATAAAATACTCGCAGAACTCAGTCGGAATACTAATTTACATCCATTGAGTCGGTGCTCGTGTTACTCTTCATTTTAAATCAACCCACGGATATTTTTACACCAAAAAACGACCAATTCTTACTACTTTCATGTAAAACATCGTGATTTTACGATCGTGGGAATAGAATTATTTTTGCCCGTAGTGGAATTATCATCGTGATCGCGGCGGCCGGCGCGCACACGTGACGCGCATGCGCGCCCGCAACCGCGCAGACTCCTTATGAATTATTTAACTTTTATTGTTGCCACCACAAAAAATAAAACAAGAGAATGTTAAGATTTCTATTTCGAGAATAGTGAGCGAATTTTATTGCAGTTTTATTATGTCTCTGTATTTGGGATACAATTGAGATTTACCGCTAAATTCTGACAGGACAATCCCTTGGCCCTAGTATGGTAGCGGCTACCAGGCAGGACTTTATTTGTTGTCCTGGTGTAGTGTCTGCTTATAAAACTGAAGGAGTATCGTATATGCTGCTTACACACTGTTGCCCATAACAATTCTCCACTATCTGCCAAACATAGCCTCCCCACATTGACTGTGCTTACCTGATAAACCCCGCTGACGTTAAAGATTACCACACTTTTCAGAGCCTTCAACAATTCAAAGACTCAATGGTCGCATACCTAGTACCTATCCCAAATAGCCAGCGTTATAACATGTTTTCATCGTTCTATGAATCAACAAAGATAAAATTCTCCCAATTCTCTAAATTCTGTTCAAAAACACTAACACGTACAATTTTATTGGTGTCACAATATTATATCGATGAGCAGTAATCTTCGACAGTAATCGCTGAAACTAGAATTAAAATCGATTAAAATTCTGGTCAGGAACGTAGCACAATTAATTTCCATTATCTAAAGAAATAACAATAAAGATGACACCGCAGAGCTACCTTGCCTTTGCTTTACGATAAAAAAAAAGTGATTAATGTCAGTGAACCAATAGTGGAACCTTTTTTCTGTGTTGCCAGGTGAATAAAAAGGTCTGTGTATGGGGGTCACGTGCCGTTGAATGTCTTTTTTGGGTCATAAAAAACTTTAAGGTGTTAGGGTGGCAATCTACTTATTGTATAAGTTACGAGTTTAATTGCTTGAACTAAAATATTATGATATTTTCTTTGATATGTGCAAAAACCTTAGTTTAATAAATCAAATGTACACTTCTACGAAAAGGCCCATTTGAAAAGCCCAAGTCTAAAGTCTAGACCTTTTCAGTCACGATGTTCCAGATAGCCTTACTACTGATCTATTATCATCATTCATCAGCATCCTAAGTCAGTCAGATTGCATCTTATTCCTGGAAGGCAATCCGATACACCATGATGATGTTGGCAATCTTCGCGTGAACTAAAAACGTGATGATTTTGCTAAACAGTAACATAACAATGGTTGGAATTAGTTGGATAAGCCCAGTATAAGTACTTAATATAAGAAGAATTTCTGAGGAGTAGGGTTATGTTTTTGTAATAACTATCGTGAGACGTGCTGGATTAACTAAAAATACGAATTACTCACGTAAATATACTAAAAAAAGCTGTACTAGTTTCGAATCACTGAGGGTCAGTAAGCCCGACATCGCCGAAATTGCGCACGCTGCTCACGAGGAAGAGTCTCCTTGTGACTCGGATCGCTGACGGATAACCTGATGGTTAGCAATCGGCGCCGCCCATGGACACCTGAAGACGTTACAAGTGCGTTACTGGTCTTTTGGGAATTGGGTATTTGAAGATTGTGGGGGATCAGGGGACTGGGGAGACTGGGAATTATGGGTAATTGGGCCTTCGGTAACCTCACTCACACGACGAAACAACGCAAGCGTTGTTTCACGTCTGTTCTGTGTGAGGCCGTGGTATCACTCCGGTCGAGCCGGCCCATTTGTGCCGAAGTATGTCTCTCCCACACTTAATCTATTCACATAAAATAAACTAAAAAGTCGATAAAAATTCTAAAATAGTCAAGCAACCCTATCCACAGCCTTACAGCATCAATTTTATTGAAGTGTCCATCTATAGCTCAATAAATTTGTCCCCGCCGAGGTGCGAACCAACACAATTCATTACTATTCATTGGTACACCATGTTGAATCCTAATGGGCTCCATATGTTTGCGACCCCTGATGCACTTGATGTATGCTTAGAGCTATTTAGCTTTTCAAGATGGTTTTACAAATCGTTGTTGGTTAATGTTTAACATTTAATGTAGTTTAGAGATATTGCGCTGCTGTCAATTAATAACATCGGAGTAGGTATGTTTTTTAGAAAAATAATTTAAGTTGACATAATCGCTAGTACTTTCTCGATATTTATTTAACATTTTGAAAGATCAGAGTACATTTGCACCTAACAATCGTCTTCTATTTGCTAAGAATCGTTTGAATAGTCCATTTTAAATTTATTTTCCAAGTTGTAGTGCTATCACAATTTCTCAACATTACTACGTCAAACATTCCTGTAGTTTACAAACATGGTTTTGGAACGCATCCGTAAGCGGCGGTGGCCATTTGCAGACAATGGCGGCGTGAAACTGGCGGGAAATCGATGCGTCCTGCACTTTTGTGGAATTAAAGACAGATTTTTCAAAAGAAAATCTGTTGTCTCTCTTACTAGATATAAGAAATACATCTGGAAAAGACAACATAATTTAAAAACTAAGAATATATTAAGTAAGTTTTTATTTATTTTATTTACAATATTAGGTATAGTTACCCAAGAGTCGAAAATACTCATAAACTTCACACGAGACGACAGTGTTTGACAAGAATTAGAATATTTTTGCTTACTTTTGAAATGGGTTTTTAGATAAACCGTGACAACAAACAAACTTATATTAGTGTAATGATGCAGAACATCGCACGTGACGAGGTGATATACTTTGTTTTTTTATAGATATAATGTAGAATCAACATTAAAAAAGAAAATAATCAAATAGAATAAAAAAAAACGACTTGTCAAATACAATTTTTTTAACTGGCAAACCGGATTTTAAATCAATATTTATAAATTATTTTACCTAAATCTTTCATAACCTATTTTTATTATAGAATGCATTGATTACAATATTTATATTCTGACCAGTAGAAGCTGTATAACTCAATACGACAAGCTAAAACCAACTGTACGCAACAAAAATAGAGATGACAATTGTTCAACTCAACTTTCATGCGCACGATTGCAGGTTGTAAATGCAAAATTCATTGAAGTTTAAACGCCTCTAATATTTATGCACAGGTTAATTGAATATTCAATTGCTTACTGCCTTCTTTTATTGTTTTCTTTATACTTTTAAGGTTCTAGTAACTTAGAGGAAAAGTTTAGTACTAATAATAAAAGTATTATTTTAATGCTTGGTTAAAATGTATGAAGTTATTGCTAGTTAGAGACATTGCTTGGCCTTGTTATTGTAATATGTGTTAAATAGGTACCTTTTACTGCCACTTGATATTTATGCCTGCTTTACCTTGGTTGTCTTAAGGTACAGATAGTATTCTTCTAACATTATGTTCTAAGTCGTAGTACTTACCTGTAGTAAGTATATGGTTATAGTAGTGACTCAGTTTAAAAACATATTAAACACTATGTTTAACTTTCTCATTGCACCTCGTTTGGATATATCAGACGATCAGCAGAATTACTTGTCTTAATTGTAGTTATTTATCTTTTGATTTACTAGGCTAGTAAGTAACTACAATTATGGGCCTAGGGCGCAAAGGGGCACCGCGACGTTGCGAGACGCGTGTGCCTGTAGGGTATCAGCGTTGCCAAAAATAATTAGAGGCGCCTATGTCGTGCTTCCTAGGGCGCTCTCCGTCTAATCCGTCTCTGTTTTTACTTTATAAGCACTTAAGTAAAGTCTACAAAACAAGTGAGTGCCGCATCGTTTTGACATTCTGCCCTCTACTGCAGCGATACTCGCGCATGCGCTGTATATGGCGCGCACGCGCATATTTATTCATTGGCCTGCGTACGCTGATTCAATGCTAAAACGGCTAGGCTTTTATGTTGTTTTTAGGGTTGCTAGCGCCATTTTTGGTTTATGAATTACTATTTTATTTTTATTCCAATGACAGATTTGTGTACTTTTACGTGAACTTATGTTTTATTTATGCGTTGTTTACATAAATTTATATTCGCTTCTGTAATGTTCGGGGCGGTTGTCTCAGTGTTCTAAAGTACTATGTAAATTCAGCTGCATTTGTTTTGACAAGAAATTCCATATAGCTATTAAAATATGGGGTATAACTCTCCCTGTTATTCTTTGATTTGTTGTTGTAGAGATTTCTTTTCTCTTTTCACAAATACAGAAGAAGCTTTCAAAAGCTTCTTAAACATCTACTAGTAGATACATACCTACCTAATACTGAGTGAGTCTAATTCCTGGGAGTAAACATAGATTAACACCCTATTATAGGCACCCCTAAAACAAAAAGCTAACCACCTGGTTTACTTTTTGCTGTGGATACAAAACGACAAATGTTGCACAAAAACACGTTGCCTAAGCGATAATTTGCAAAGACACAGCTCAAGTTATCAGATGGTAACTTGAAATGTGCATGTTTACACGTTTTTTGTGAAGTTCTCGTCAAGTGTTAGTTTGTAAGTTGTATGTAAGTTGAGTCGGGCGGCTTATCTGACACGTTCACACGCACCGATTTGTGGCGTCTGCTTTTTGTCTATACGCTGTTTTGGAACGAGTTATTAGTGGTAGCGGGGTTCAAAATCATTCAAAATTAATATAACTACCTTAATAGTAACAGAGTTTAAGCATATTCTGCACATACTGGTTATAATTTTTTGGTTCCAAAGTTCATTTCGAAATCATAAAAAGTTTACTCTTAATTCAATTTAATCTGAACATTTTTATTAGGACTACTCTCAATACAAAAAAAATTGCTATTATTACGTGCCAGTCCGGTTTCATATTAAAAATACAAGATAAGTCATCTTACAAATTGAACCAAAACCCATCGGTCACTATGTAAGTTAAACATAGACTAAATGACATCACACACTTATAAACCGATGCATGTTATCTACCCTGGTTGCAATTAGGCCAGGCCACTCCAGGCCAGTCCAGGGTAGGGTTGGAATACATTATCATAAGTGGGAACATAAAAAGCGTAATCGTAAAACACTTTGATGCTCCTTCCAAAACTACAGTGTGTTACGTGGTGTTAGATAACTTTTATTGTTTTTAAAGGACGTTAAAATGTATGTTTTATACATTGAGGACGTGACTGATGAGAAGGGTAGAATATTCTTACTTTTAATTATAAAAGACACTTTTTACGCGACTTCCAATCTTATGCCTTTTACCATAACATTTATTTTTCTAATTTTCAGGACGGACAACGGCTATTCATGGGTGCACCAGGCAGTTTCTTCTGGCAAGGTAACGTTACATAATAATGTCATTTACTAACTAATAATTTAGATTGCATACAATTTTTATAGATCGAATTTAGATGCAGTGGCTGCCTAGCTACGCATGGGTGCTCAGTAGTACCAAACGCCAAGGATGAAGATCATGAGAATGTTTTGAAATTAATCTATCACACTTGGACTAGACTTACTACTATAGCAAAATAGATAGTAGTTGCCAAATCATATAACGTAGATGCAACAAACATTCGACATCTGAATGATATTAACATTGCATATAAATATAAAATTGTTAAAATCGACGACCAAAATGGTTTAGATTCAAATAATAATAAACAAACAAAGACAGTGTTTAATAAGTTCGATACAGTAAACAATGAAAATAAAAACAAAAAAAGAAACAAAGATTACAAAGAAAAGGTTTATTTAAAAGACGTAAACGTACAATATGATCAAATAATATAACGTAGGTGGTCTCCAAACAGTTTGGAATTTGGAGAGGCATTCGAAATGATAACTGACACTAAAATTATCCACAGGGCGAACGTTATCAATAGAACCGAAAGAAAAGTTCATCTTCTATATGCCGAAAATACCGGAAGAAGGTAAACATATCCAGACGTACCGCAAGATTGACATCTTAACTCTTAACAGCAATAACATAGAGAGGCCTCAATTCGCCTAATCCAAAGTCAACGCCTTGAACATGGACAGTTGTTTTAAATTACATTTTTGTTGTTCGAGTACACTCCTTAGCTTTTAACGCAATAACATTAATCCGATATCATAAAAATAAGTCGCTAACTATTCTAAATTTGCTTGCTTTTCTAAATTATGATCTCTAACTCGACGTGTCGATTTTGATTTGGTTTTCTTTAATGTTTTAGTGTTTTTGAAAATTTGTATATTTCTCTGCTAGTCTTGAGTATTTGATTCAATATTGTTTAAATCGAAATTATCTTCAGTATGACTTGCATACAAAGTGATACTTGAACATATAAAATGAATTTAAAATGGAAACTGCTTACAACTATTTATGTTCAGATATTTTTGCAAAATCTTCATCTATTTGCCCATAATATCTGTCATAAATAGTGCTGAAATCATTAGCTTTCCTAAAGTCATGGTGTTCTAAGGTTACCCTATGGGTTCTACCAGATACCTTCCATATTCTCCAATCTTTAAAATGCCATTAATTTCTGTAAACCATTTTAGCGGTAGTTTATATGTAACGAACGTTGTGCACGACAGATTAGAACATTAGATGATCCATTTCATATTCTTTGTGCTAACAATTTGTCTACTTGGATGATATCATTGTATACCGTCACGATTGCAACACGTGTTACATCACCGTGTCCAAAGAATGATGGACAGACACATCCAAGCCTAATCATCACAACTACAGCATGTTGTTGATAAAATTACAGTTCTATTAAAATTTTACCTCTTCGTAGTCAAATTAAAATGATTGTTCTAAAAGAAAATTTGTATATAGGAATGATTTTTTGTAATTCCCATGAAGTATATAAGTACTTAGTTTTAGTTTATATCCGGGTTAAATAGGTGTTTAATATTACTCAAATGATAATAACCGCAAAAGTGTCCATGCTTTAAAACTAAACTATAAAACATCATTGGCTTTGAGCTCTGACGAAACACAACGTTATTTATTTCTCACAGTTCTTGTAAGGCAAATGCTACTCTAAATATTTCAAATTTAGAGTTTCATTTGCTCATGTCCGACTTGTGTTTCGCCAGACCCGTTACCAAAATTAATTCTACCAATACAACGGTCGCTGTAACAAGGATTTGGTGATATATTTAACATTACAAGATATCCCTGAATCTCACGCTTGATATGGTGTGATCACACCTGTTTTGGTCATATTATGTATGCTAATAACCTAATCAAAAGCGTTATAGAGACGCCTGTATTATATGACACGAGATCTTATACCATCATCACACGGAACCGCCTTTCTTGGCTGCTGGATCGCTTGAACATCATCTAATGACAGATCATGGAACATTGTACACGAATGATTGACGTTTTGCGCTGGTTCAATGTATTAATCATTGGTTCCGTTTGGACGATTATCTGAACCCTTTTTCAGACCAAAATGAAATCAAAAGATTTGTAAAATACTCTTGGTCTTTTCTCCAGGTCGTCCAAATGGAACTCTGAACACACCGACAATGTTATTGAAACTAATTCCTTATTTTATTTTAGGTCAGCTGATGTCTCAATCTATGGGAAGTCGTCCAGCACTGATTGCCACTCCTGAAGCTAGTCCTAAGTACGATGACTCTTACATGGGTTACTCAATTGCTGTTGGTGATTTCGCTGGTCAGGGTATTCAGAGTGTTGCTGTTGGTGTACCGAGAGGAGCTGGACTCAAAGGATTGGTGAGTGAATCTTATATTAACGAGGATTTATTCGTAATCATGCTAATAACCAATCATAGGATGACCGAAATCATCTTGAAATATCTAAAATGAAAGGATAGAATTGCCACTTTTTGAAAAATTATTATTCAATTGTGGATTCACAAAACTTTGATGGTTGACTGATTGACGGAATGTTCATCATAACTTGCCAATGGTATGTGTTTAGACTTCCTCAATAAGTCAATATTCGTAAATCAATTTACATATTTTTTCTGTAATTCCAGGTTGTTCTCTATACTTGGGAGCTTCAAAACATCAAGAACATTAGTGGATCGCAGATCGGTGCTTACTTCGGCTACAGTATTGCCTCTGGCGATATTGACGGCGATGGTTTTGATGACGTCATTGTTGGTGCTCCAATGTTCACCAGAACTAAGACTGATGGATTTGAACACGGAAGAATTTATGTGATCTACCAGGATAAAGACCGAGTAAGTATAAGTTCATGATCACATTAAGTAGGTACTTATTTGTGACTTGTGAACAAAGCACAACTGCTCATCGTACAAAACTAGATTTGATTTCCTTCATATAATGTATCCTTATTGTTTGGTATACTCATTGGTTTTATATGCTTATTTAAATGAGTGAGACATATGGTAGATGACATTTGTTCGTATATTATTATTGTTTTTCTTTATTTTAGTTTACTATAATTGTATCCATGATTTCCTTATAGTTATTCGGCCTTTGCTTACTTCTTATTTTATTTTTCCAGTCTTTCACAAGGAGTCATGCCAGGACCGGTGAGGTTTCCCGAGGCAGATTCGGTTTGGCTGTCACGTCGCTCGGTGACATCAACTACGACACTTTCGGAGGTAAATATTAGTTTTTATTAACTACTAGTATAATAATGAAACTTGGGTTCCATTTCATGAGCGTTGTAGAGCTTTGAGATTTACATCAATCCTATTATCTTTTTCCAGACATAGCAGTAGGTGCTCCTTACGGTGGTGAGAACGGCCGTGGTGTAGTCTACATCTACCATGGCAGTGCGATGGGCATCCATGAGAAATATTCCCAAGCCATCACTGCTGAGGAGATCTCTCCCACCTTGACCACCTTCGGATTCTCCCTCTCTGGAGGAGTGGATCTGGATAATAACAACTACACGGATTTGGCAGTTGGTGCCTACAAATCTGATAGCGTTGTGTTTTTGAAGTAAGTTATTTTTTATTGCCTTCCTCGTTTTTATTTACAACCTTATTGGATGAATGGTTGCAATTTGCAATCGTCACTGAGAACCAAGGTATCTTGAGTTAGAAACTTGATTGGAGCAAAATATTGGGATTTTGGTTTTGGAAAACTCAGTAGCTCGAAGCTTCCAGTATGGAGCCTAGTGCATGGCAATGTTTTACTACTAATTGAGACGGAGACTTGAGAATCAAAATATAATCAGCAAAAAGAGGGAATCATAAGTATTGTCTGTACATCTGTCTATTTTTATAAGGGAAGTTATACAATGTTAAGGTAAACAGGTCCTGAAACTTTCTACCTTTTCCAGGTCTCGCCCAGTAGTGAAAGTGACTGCCGAAGTGAAGTTTTTAGTTGACAGCAAGTTGATCTCGCTGACTGACAAGAAGTGTCCTCTCGCTAACGGCACCACGGTTGCGTGTGCGCAGGTTATGTTCTGCCTCTCATACGGAGGTGTTAATGTGGATCAGCAGATTAGTAAGTATTTAATCATGTTTAATTTATTTTGTCTTTTATTATGTTTTAGATTGCGATATTATTTTAACTTAAGTATTTACGCTTTTTGAACTTGAGAAAATTGAGAGTCACAATAATGTATTGTTTGTTTTCCAAGCGGAAGGATATATCTGCTATTTCGGTGAGTCAGCGAAGTAGCGCTAATTGGTACCACATAGGGTTCAAATTGTCGTAGCAACACGAAATCCTTTATTAATTTCAAATATCAAGTCAGGTTTGGTACTTTTAATATCGTAAAAGGATTTGGATTTATGGGGATTGTGTTGAGATTAATAGACTGGTGAATGATGTACATATAAACATATACATACACTTATATTTATTAGTATTAGTTAGTCAGTGTTAGTTGTATAAGTGACTGCACTGTTCATGTTTCACACAGTAGTTACATTACGCTGTGACTGAACCAAAGTATTGCTCTCTCTTTTCCTCAGGACCTGTAGGATTCATATAGTTACTATATCCTAAGACTTATACGGTTGCTATAGCTTTTATGTAGGTGCATCTAGAATAAGCCAACTTTAAAAAGAATCACTAATTGAAACTTTTTTTATGGGATAAGCCAGTAAACGATTAGACGGATCACCGGATGGTCAGCAATCGGCGCCCTCAGGGACACCCGTAACATCAGAGGCGTTACAAGTGCGTTACCGAACTTTTGGGGATTAGGAATTTGAGGATTATTGGGGATTCAGGGATTAGGGATATTCAGGAGAAATTTGTCTTATTCATCACCACTCCACTAGCAGAAAAGAGAGAGCAATAAATAACAGTTCAGTTCCGCAGAAAACATAAGCAGCGCCACTAATTGATGCTTCATTCTCCAGAATTTGAGGTGACCTTGGACCTAGACTCCCGGCAGAAGACCACGAAGAGGCTGTTCCTGGCGGAGACCAGGGAGACAACGTACAAGACCCAGATACTGCTAACGCAGGGAGAACATGAGTGCAAGGATATCCTCGTATACTTAGATGTGAGTAGCTTTCTATCTTCAACGATTTT